TAGCTCTTGGCTGGAAAGTGGTTTTGCGCAACTTATCAGATCGTGCGCTCTGAGTGGCGCCACCGTCGTTGTAATCAAACTGTAGTCGTTAGTTTTAAAACATTAAAAAAATATTTCTAATAGTGATTGAACCATGAAACTTTTTATGTAGCGTAATTATAACCTAAATTAGCTGAAAATAACCCTAGAACCTAGAGTAAACTCTCCCTTTAAATAAAGCCAAAAATATCATAATAGAAAAACAGGAAGAATTTTTGATGATATATTAGCATGCTGCATGTGGGTTTTATTAAGGACAGACAAGATAGCTCCTCCCTTGGTATCTGCACACAAAAGAAGTATTTAAAAAAAAGATTTTTTGGCTTGATGTAATATGGTTTTATTACAAACCGTTGCAAATACAAAATATTACTCTAAAACTTTTATATGTTAAACAATTTGATTATTGAAACAAAGTCTGCATTTTTATAAACGTTTCATTTTGCGACCGAGTGAGGAAGTCAGCAGATCTACAGTAGGGCCTACATGACATCAAAAATTACACTAGAAAACTCACCTCTCGATTAACTCGGCTTTTCACCCCGAAAGCTTGGCTTTACGGCGTCTAAGTTCCTCACGTAACTCAGCAAGTGTCCAATTGTCGTATTTTGACATTTCTGGTTAATATCAGCTTTGTTAAGATGATTATTTGCTCACGTTTCTGGCTAAAATCACATCGCTTGTGAAATACGTGTGCTGACAAGTAGTAGTTATGACAGGTATATGCGCGCGCAGGGACCGGGTTGCGGTGTGCTGCCACCTATTAGCGATTACGGTAACAGCCCTCATTGTGAGCAGACTGTTCGGTTACTGGAGGTGCTGTGATGGCCGTGTCTCTGCCGTTTGCTTTCATGTACAGTTGTCTGTACGCATCAAAGCAGGGAGACTTCCCTTCTATGTCGTATCCTTCCTGGATACGTCTGTGATACGTCTCCCTGGTCGGAGTTGATAAGACACTCTCTAGTACCTACAATGCCCCTGATGCCTTCCGAAGCTCATCACAAGTGTTGTCATGTGGTGTGCTGCTTGTTGATGGCTCCTCTGCAACCATATACGTGATTGCTGGTTTCAGCTGGTTTCAGCTGGTTGGACGATATCACAGTGCTGTCGACAGGATATATACCGGATGCTTTAAAGCTATTTATGATGGTTAAGGGCTTATAGAATAATAGAAAGGCTTCTTTTAGTTTTTCTGCAAAGTTTAGTTTTCCTATTTGAATATCTGGGTGATCTCTAGTATTCTGTCTTACAACCTGGTGCCACTTTGCCTTCAATGGCCCGAACACACCTTTATCTAGGGGCTGCATAAGATGGGTGGCGTTCGGGACAATCCGATAAATTTCAATCCCCCTTGCTTTTGCATCTTAGAAAGCAGCCATGTGTACATGGCTGCTAACACTGTCGATCAACAGTACAACTGGTCTATCCGTGCCGGCATGTTTATCAAAATGTTGAATGTTCATTCATCTGCATCCATCCACCCTTTCTTGGTGTAGGCAATTTCGGAGTCTTCAATTGCTCCAGTCAGTGGATTGTATCCACGTGGCTGAGGTGAAGGATACACCAAGAAAGGGGACATCATTCTTCCATCCGCAGACCCACAGAACATTACAGTCAGCCGCTGCTTGCTGTTGCCTCCAGATACATGAGGCACCTGGTGAGCATTCTCTTTTTTCGGAGGTCCGATTATTTTGTGCTTGCTGGCAGAACTTCCCACACAAAAACCAGTTTCGTCTGCATTCCAGATTCTGCTGGGTTTGTCTATGACGTCTGCCATAACAAGGAAGTCTCTAAAACCCCCAAACCACTTATTAGTTGCATTTTTTGTTGCATTTTGCCCTGCAATTTTCCAAGAGTGTTTCCTTGCGCATTTCCACTATATGGCAGTTTCTCTTCATGAAGGCATAATACCAGTCATGGCTAGGCCGGTTATTCTTGAACGGAGTAGACCTATTCTCTCGTTCAACAATTACCTGGACAAAGTCCAAGAATTCTCCCGGCCTTAACCCCATTCCTCGTTCTGCCATCTCGCGCAGCCATCTTGCCATTGCTTCTTCTTCTTCTTTATTAAACACTTGTGGTGGACCCTTTTTTCGATCAATTTCTAGTTCTCCAGAAAGCCTTCTATATAAATACCCAAATGACAATTCGTTATCACGAGCTGCCTGCCTGATTGATACCTCATTTTCCCGAATGGCAAATAGGGCCCTCCTGACCCTCGATCCCTTGCCTGGCGTTCCTGGCTTCACATGCTTCTTTGCCACTTTTTTGGCCTTTTGCACTGCGGAACTTGTTGGACAGGCTCCTGATATTTTTCTACTAGCACTTGCTTTTGATGTGAGCTTGGATTTTGTGGTTTTCATCACTGTGAGATCGATCTTGTTTCTAAATATTTGACTGTAAAATAAAATTACATGTGTTTATATATATAAAGTAATAATAATAAATTATTTTTCAATATATGGATATGAAGTAATAATAATAAATTATTTTTTAAAGTTGTTTTCTTCGTAAATAATAATTTTTATGTCAAAAACAAAACAATAATATTATGATCCGTTAATCCTTGTCTGATTGCAAATCCGACATTGCCGACAAATGCGACAATTGCTTGTCCGGCATAATTCAGCACTTAATAGATGGCGCGCGGGTGAAGTAAGACATCTGGCTGCAAACCAGAAGTAATCAATAAGTGCATAAACCAATGCCAATAAGTGCATAACTCAATGCCGATTGACATCGTCACGGTCTGGTTGTGTTTTGTTGTACTATTTTATGCAATGCCTGCCCACTGCTGTGTTCCGAAATGCTGTGGGAAAGGCGGACATCGCTTCCCAGCAAATGTAGAATGGAAGAAAAAGTGGATTCAAGCCGTGAAGAGGGGTGAGCCAGGTTGGTTGCCAAAAGCGTGGACGACTGTATGCACGGCTCATTTTGACAAAGACGACTACGTTGGTGTCACGAAAGAAAGTAAGTTATCGTAACTAACACCATATCGCATACCATTAATATACTTCAGGGCGAGAGAGGGTGACACACCAAATAATAGTTGAGTTCATTAATTGCGCTCCCTAGAGCCCTGAACAGCAAAATAAAATTGCCGTATGTTTCCAAACCAGTATAGTAATGAAGCGTTGTGGATGAAATGCAAAATTGATGCTGTCATTCCTCCGCTTGATTTTGTTTGTGTAGATGCATCTTGAGAAAATATTTCTATAGGACGTCCACCACCTGAAAGGTCTGCCTCTTCATCTTTTGCCTCACATTTGATGTCCACCTCAGCTCCAATGTCCTGCCATGCATGAAGGCTTTCTTTAAGTCGAATATCTTCAAAGTTCGATCTTCTTCTGGCCCGCGATTTCCGTTTCAGTGCCGAGTCAGTCATTGTTTTCCAAGCAAAAATGTGTGGGACAGCACTTGGTTTGAGGATTTTATTAATCATGGCACCCTCTGAAAAATAATTTCACATTTAATAACAATTGTACAATCATAAACAATATGCATTTTTTATTTGCACACGTAAAGTCCTCTTTAATCTAGACGAGGGCCTGGATGCATATATCTGCAGTATTTAAAATGATATGTGGTACATGGTACGTAACACATTTGTGTATGCTCTAGTTTTAGCAAGAATCAGCAAACATTTCATGATTAGGCCGATCTGCAATTACTGAATTCGGTATCAATTATAAGCAAAAACTTCTGATTAATATATGGG